TGCTAAAACATTCTTCTCCTTCCTGTTATCTTGCTGCCCTCTTTATGAATGGATTTGCGTTATGGGGAGAGGAGTGGAGGGGTGGTAAGGCTGAGAGACTTATGAAGGTGGTGCTTGTCCTAATTGTAAATGACAAGCAGTGTTCTCTGGAACTCAAAGGAAAATAAATATACAATAATCTCAAAGTACATTGTCAGTAGCCTCCCACTTAGAAGCTAAAACAAGAAATGAAACACTGAGTGATACTGGGGAGGTAGGGGATTAAATTAGTAGTTAAAGGGATAAGATAATCTGTCTCATGCAAATTCGATTGGGTTATTTAAATACCAAACCCAAAATGGAATGAGAATGAATGAAAATATAATTTGGTTACCATGGTATTATATGTACTCTTGTGAAAAACAAAGACCAAAAATAGTCCCAAACTATAGCAGACAATCAGGACAGGATAAATAGCTGTAAGGAAGGAGTAGTAACATGAGCTTGTGTAAACCTAAGCTTCAATCCTCTGATCTCCAGTAGGGCAGGGCCAAATTCAGGATCTTCTGTGGTGGCATGGGGGTGGGAGGGATTCAGAGCTCCTGGGCACGTGTGCACAAAGATGGGAATAGCCTTACATAACTTAGTCTTCAGTTCCATGAAATGGATTCCAGGGAAATAAGCAAGAAAGAGATCTGGTTATTGTTAGTAGCATAGGATGTGCTGGGTGGGGTGTAGGAGTCATAGACCTGCCTGCTTCGAATCCTAACCCCACCATTTACTCTCTGTGTGGCCTTGTATAAGCTACTTAAACTTTATGAGCCTCAGTTGTTTTCTTATCTATAAAATAGGAATGATAATTCTTGGCTCATATGTTGGGTATGGCTAAAATGATAATACACTGACGTAAATGTTCAGTAAATGGCTATTGCTTTTATATTTAGAGGGAACTTTTTAAATGCTTTTTAATATAGAGTGTTAAGAATAGTAAGAGGAGTATTTAAAAGGCAGAGATGAGTTTCAGGAATGAATTGATCGAGGAAATCTAGAAAGGCATATATCCATTATAATATATGCTTTAGTATATTAAAATTAGATATGCTATATCTATTCTCCTAGTACAAGTGATTTGAAGGGGACATGATATCGCTGGTGGGTCTCTGACAAAAAGCCAGCCGTCATGCAACCAGGAGTCCTCACAGCTGGCTTCACCATGGTAATACCACCAATCCCGATCATGATGGAGCTGCTTCATCTGTCTGGAATTTAGTCTTATGGCCTCAGATAGTTGGTTATTTTAATACACCCAAGAATGAATGAATTTCTCAGGGATAGATTCACACTAGCTAAGCTTATAAGAGACTGATGTATAAACTAGAATGCTACTATTATATGCATTTATTGTTAAAAATAGACCTGCTATGGGGACCAGAAAGCTTTGGCCAGCATGAGCAGGCATGATTTCCCCATAGGCAGATTACTTGGGAAGCCAAATTATAATCATAGGTTAGTGTATAATATGAAGATGTGGTTATATGATTCAGTGCATCAGACAGCCCTCTACCCTGTGGGAAGGGTTTGGGGCCAGGACCTTCCTTTTCCTGGCCAGCAGGAGACATCAATTCAGCACCCCCCCCCCACACACACACCTTGTTTATGCTGACTCATTGTACATGAACGCCTTCTAATTTAACACTTCCAAAGAGAATGCCAGAGCATTTATTCTGTTTCATGCCGGTACCTGCCAGTGCGGCTCTTTTGTTTCCAGCCCAGGAGACAGTCTACCTTTATGGGGACAGCATGACCACCCTTCTCCATTATATGTAGTTAGCGTACTTAAGCTTCAGAGTTTGGAGGTTTCTTTGCTTTCTTGTGCCTCTCTACAACAAGTACAGTTTTCTGAATGACAATATAATAAACTGGGAAGGAATTATATGTAGTTAGCGTACTTAAGCTTCAGAGTTTGGAGGTTTCTTTGCTTTCTTGTGCCTTTCTACAACAAGTACAGTTTTCTGAATGACAATATAATAAACTGGGAAGGACCCGAAAATTAATATTTTGGGTGCAATTTTATTTTAATGAGAACATTGATAAAAATAATATCTCCAAACTAAAGGACCCATGAAGAAACAAGTTGGCTTTTCTTCTGAGTTTTCCAGACAACAGAGTCTGTGACTTACAAGTGATGGCTATCGCTTTCCTCCAAGCCCCTGGCTGTTGGTGCTTTGTCGTTTTAGTGGGTATGTGCACGCTGGAGGTGGTGAGTGTTCAGGGAAGTTGGAGTAATTGCTGCTTCAGCGAGTTTGGCTACATCACCTCTTGCCTGTGCTTTGTATTGTTTCTCAGACCCAAAACCACAATATCACAATGACTCATGTGGTCAGAAACCAGAGAAAGCATTTCTTGTTCGAATTTTCTTTATGACAATTAAGTATTAGATGTGTAGTGGGCTTTATACTTTCAAACTTGTACTTGATCTTATTCGATCCCCAAAATAGCCCTGTGTGGCAAGCAAGGCAAGGATTAGTTACAGGCGAGGAAACCAAGGCCTGGAGGATTAGTTGTTTCAGTGCTCCTCAGCTGACGCTAGAATCCAAACCCTCTGTCTCCATACCAGTGCCCTTTCTCCTCAACCTTTTTGGGTTCTCTTGTGTAGATCTAGTTACTGTGCTGAGAGCTACCAGAGTTGTTGGCTGTGGATGTGAAGATTGTGTTTTTGTTTACTGTTCAGTTGATGGGATTTTGTCTGTCATTGTCACTTAAACCTCTCATCCTCCAAACTCACAGAGGACTTTGTTCTCAACTCACATTGTAGGCTGGGGTGTGGCCTTTGTGAACGAGGAGCATTCAGGCGTAAATCATAAACATTCCTGTCTTATGTCCTAACCCTTTGACCGTCCCACCTTCTCCGGGCTTTCCTTTGTGCCAAGACATCTGATTCAGCCTTGGCTTTCTAAGTTAGCCCAGAGAAGGGGGACTTCAGAGAAAAAGGACTTCCTTGCTTCCCTTGCTGATCAGGGACTGCGTGTCCTGCTGGCAGTTAGTCATTCCCTGCCTCGCTCTCCTGCTGCTGGCAGAGCTAACTCTCTGGCTTTGAGCTTTGTCAAGGGAACGGATGGCTCAGAAAACTCATTTCAGTTAGCTGTGCTTCTTTTTTGGTACCTTTGGGAAAGGTTTGGTGTTGAAAGGATATGCAATCAAGCTATTATCTAAAAGTAGCATTCCCTAATTACATGGAACTTTAGTTGTCCAGATCATTGTTCAAGTAATTTTAACCACTTACCCACCCAGCTACATACTGTTGAGTTTACATCAGAAAAGCCGAATACAGTTACTAAAAGTTATTAAAATGTAAGATTCAAATGAAGTCTTTTCTTCCTTTGCTCTGTGAGCTCAGCCCTTCTTTTGTTTCTGTTATTCATTTGGAGAACTCTGAACATACATTTTTGGACAGACTTAAAAATACTACACCAATCTCTTCTCTCCTTACATACTCATGTCAGCCCTGAATAGTTCTTTTATCTACTAGTAGGCAGAGTTATTACTACTGATTCAAGTGGCATCTTTACTAAAGACACTATCAAAGAGGAAATTCAAGCTGTTTAAATGAAAGTAGCAATAAATCAAATACAAGGTGACTGAACCATTGCTTTAAGGTTTTCTTCTTTTCCAGGTCAAATCATCACTTAATGTGTTTTTTTTTTCAAGAAGCCATATGTTTATGAGACAAGTGATTAACTCTGAACCTAGGGAAAAAGAAAATAATTGGCAACTGCATTCTCCCCAAAATTAGGCCAGTATCTTTGGCATCATCCTTAATAATTCTTTCTTTTATAATCCATATCCTATTCATCAGCAAATCCTGGGTCCCCCTTCAGAAGCCTTCCTTCCAATGCCAGTCATTTCCACTACCTCCCCGTCCCCCACTGGTGCTGGCCACCAAGCTCAAGCCACCGTAATCAATGACTGAGATTATTCCAACAGGCTCATTAACTGGTTTCTTGTTTACATAGCCAATTCCTCACCCAGCAGCCAGAGAGATTGTTTTAAACAGAAGCAACATCTGCTCTACACCCTCCCACAACTTCCTAAGACACTTGAAATAAGATCCAAAGTCTTGGCCATGGCCCACAAAGCCCTCCAAGACCTCGCCCCCTGGTACCATGCTTCTCCTGATTCCTACTGAGCATTTTCCAGCAGTTGGCATTTGCTGTGTCCTCTGCCTGTGATGTACTTCTCCCAGATGTCTGCGTGGTTAACTTCCTATTTCTGTTGGCCATAGAGGTTTCCATCACTACAGTCCTGCCCCTACCACGTGTCTGGAGCAGCACTCCTGCTCATCATCCTCCCGTCCTCATGCCTTGCTTTATTTTTCTTAACACACATTCCTACCAGCAAATTAGGTACTTATTTGTACATGGTCGATCTCACCACTCCATGAGGGAAAAGGTTTTTGTTTCTTTTATCATCCTATCCCCTGTGACTAAGTCAGTGCCTGACACATCACAGGCAGTCACTAAATGTTTGATGAATGACATGGGAAGAATGGCTACTTGGTCCCCTCCCCAGATGATTTTTTCAGCAGGCACTTGTCTTCTTTTCCACAAGCTGCCCTGTAGTGCTGTAGGGGAGTCAGGAACTAGAAGGACTATGTAGTTATGTCTCTGGGCAGTTGCAGGGGAGAAGTGATGTATGTAAGGGGTGTTTTTCTAGATCTGAAAAAGAAAAACTTACAAAATATACCAGTATTGAAATATGTTATTTCCCCTTCTGTTTCTACCCTGGCTTCTTATATAAAGAGCATTCAAAACATAAATAAAAAAATTGTTAGGTCAGAGTGAAGAAAGCCCTCAGATACACAAATAAATGACAAAAGTTCTTTACCAGGTGATCTGTATTGGGACTTGTAGAATGAAAAATACATGTCCTGTCATATAAATACTTAATAGTAAAAACCATATATCCTAATTTCTTGCATACTTGGGAATCCTTACCAATCAGGAATTGTCTTCTTCAATTGGAGAGGAAGCGATGGAGAAGGATGTGAAAAGCCAGTCTAAGCTGGATTCATCTAATAGGCTATCAGACAGTGTTTACACCGGGGCTGGGTCAGTTCAGACTGAAACGCATTTACTGTCCTTCTTTGCCTGTATTGATTTAATAATGAGTAGGGGGAGGGAGGATTCGGTAAAGGGACACAAAAGTCAACTACACTGTATGTTGATAAAATTAAATTTTAGAAAAATGATGAGTATACTAATTATCTTGACTTGATCATCACATATTGTACACAAATACCAATAGTCAACTCTATCCCACAAATTTGTATAATCAATTATGTTTCAATTAAAATAAGGAAAAAATTTAATAAATGTCAAATGATACAAAAAAATTGATTTCATGAAACATCAAAAAACAGGTTAAAATCTACTTGGTATGGGAATTTAAAACTATTATTATTGAGGTTTACATTATGAAATATTTATCATTTGTAGAAGTTTTGCTGAATAGGGGCCGGCCCGGTGGCGCACTGCTACAGTGCGCCGCTTGGGAGCATAGCGGCGCTCCCACCGAGGGTTCGGATCCCACATACAGACCGGTTCCCGCTCACTGGCTGAGCGAGGGGCGGGCGCAGCACCGAGGGTTGCGATCCCGTTGCCGGTCCCGGTCCGGTGCGGGCGTGACACTGAGGGTTGCGGTCCGTTGCCGGACACGAAAAAAAAAAAAAGACAAAAAAAAGGAAAAAAAAAAAAAGAAGAAGTTTTGCTGAATAAAATAGCCATTAAAAAATCATCACCAGGGCTGGCCCGGTGGCGCACTGCTACAGTGCACCGCTTGGGAGTGTGGCGGCGCTCCCACCGAGGGTTCGGATCCCACATACAGACCGGTTCCCGCTCACTGGCTGAGCGAGGTCCGAGGGTTGCGATCCCGTTGCCGGTCCCGGTCCGGTACGGGCGCAACACTGAGGGTTGCGATCCGTTGCCGGACACAAAAAAAAAGGAAAAAAAAAAATCATCACCATATTAAAAAAAAAATGTATTAAGAATAGAGACTCCATCAAATCCCACACTAACAAAGACAGCTTAGATTGTGTTTGTTATTCTCTACTCCAGCAGATTTTAGAAAGACTGCCATCAACAACGATTAAATGATTAACCCATGAATTACTCCTTTCCAAGGGCATTCAAGTTCATCAAAGCCTTATAATATTTTCAAATTGGCTGGCATACACTGCCACCTTTGATGCTCAGATTCAAAAAAGAGAGCAGATGAAATTGAGAGCAGATGTTAGAATCATAACATTTTGAAGCCAGGAGAGATCCTCATACCTCTTTTTACAAAGGTATAAATGAGACTCAGGTTGGAAAGGTCAGATTCAAAAGGCTCTTCCTCTGAATGTTCATGAGAAGGAACTTTAGTCGTGTCATGGCTTTGGGGAGAGACAAGAGCCCAGCTTTGAAAGCAGCCATTGGAAACATACGGAGCGAGCACTGGATCTGGAATCAGGACCAGTGTTTAAAGTGCTGCCCTTGTCTTTCATTAACAGTGTAGCACCGTGTTCTCTGCTGGGCAGAACCCCTGTTTCCTAATGTATAAAATAAGGCTAATGAAGAAAGGTTTGCATGAGAACTAAATGGAAATACACTCACTAGAAAAATTAAAATGTAGTCTCTGTCTAAGCCACACCATCCTGTGATGCTGGGCACTTTTCATGGGTTATCCTTTTTCAGTTGGCCAAGTCAGTGGTATCAGCCCTATTATACAGATGAGGTAACTGAGGCCAAGAGGGATTAAGAAACTTGCTCAGGTTCATACAGCCAGCAGATGATATTGTACCCGGATCTGTGGGACAACAAAAGCCCTCCCTCATTCCCTGACACAGGTACAGCCCGCAGCAGATGCTCCAGAAATGTTTCATGAATCAATATGTGTCGTGAGGAAAAACACTGAAGAAAAATAAGGCATCAATGTAAATGTCCCCGGAAAGGGTTTGTAAACTTCTTAAAAGCAATGTGGACTAAATAAATCAAAGGCCTCATGAGTCACAGAAGTTCATTCATTTTGTTTTTTGGCCTTTGCTTCCACCAGGTCAGCCACCATCCACCTATCTCTGCATGTCATGCCGAGTCTGAAAATTTTGTTTTCTGGCAAGGTAATGTACTAATATATAATTAACCTGCATTTTGTGTAATGCTATAGGTTTATTTTGTTCAAGAATTGCTATAAATGCTGGCTGAGATCAAAAGTGGCCCCAAACTTGGACCCGGTTAGGAGGATCTGTATCAGTTGTTCTCACCTCATGGCTGAACAGTAATTGATATTCATCCATCTTTAATTGATATTAAGTATTTGATTTTAAGGGATTATTAATTGATATTAAGAATTTAGGGGAATAACTTATTTAGTTTTTCCCATTTTTAAAAATTCTCAGTCTTTATCTGAGCCACAGCGCCACCGCGCTCCCAAGCGGCGCACTGTAGCAGTGCGCCACCAGGCCGGCCCCATGACTGTGGTATTTGAATGCTAAGATTTATTTATTCAAGAAACATCTTTCGGGCCCATCTAAAGGCATCATGTTAAACATTTATTCATTAATCTAGCACAATAGTTTTAAAAAGGTCAAAGTTGCATTTTTATGGGATGTGTATATACTTTATGGTATAATAGGGCTGCTTTTATAATTCATACGGACAATATATTTAACCCTGTTTTATGGGATTTAAAATTATTACAGAAGAGGTGTGTTGGTTTTATATTGTATTTTGCTTTGATGTTTACATTTGGCCACACCAAGAAAGATGCCAAATTCTCCATCAAGGCTATAATGCTTCCCTCCCCCATTACTACATTGTTTCTGTGAGATGACTATCATCTACTTTATAATAACTCACTTTAACATATGTCTGCATTATGGGGCAGGGGAACATTCCATAGCTCCTCTCCCATTCCCAGTGGGACACACTGGGTGGGGTGGGGACTCTCTTGCCCTGCTTTAGTTTTACCTGATCTCAAGGTTTCAAAGTTAACTCCGTTGTTTGCATTGAGAGGTAGCTGGTTTGGGGAAGAAGGAAGGGGTGCAGCATTTTGTGATATGAAGTATCTCCAACTGGTTGGATTAAAAAAAACGATGACAAAGGAAAGCAGAAAATTGCATGATAGGGGTTAGGTTTGTAAAGTCAGTGTTTGAAGTTAAAATTGCCCTTGAAAAGCCCATAGGCACAGTGAGGGGCTAATGTTCTTAGGAGGCACATGAAAACTAAGACAAACCAAAGAACAGTAGATTTGCATTTCCTACATCATATTGCAGCTGGGACTTGTGTTCATTGGACAATCTGACAGATACCCACACTAGTTAAGTCTTTGTCTGTTCTTGTCTTTGGCCCAAGCTGGTATAGTTGCAGGCCCATCTATGAAATGTGGGTACAGCATGCAGGACTCTGGATTATTCCATCCTGCAGTTCTCTACCCAGAGGAGTGGCACACAGAACTGGGTTTCAACTATGATCCTCAGCTCAGTTGAGGGTCCAGAGCAAGGCGAGTGGCTGTGGATTTGCACCCCCTGCTCTCCTTCCCCGCCCTCGGCCCTACCACATACATCCCTGTTCATCTCAAACAGGGCCCAGTACTCTGAGTTCTTGGAAAGAGGGGTTTAAAACAGCCTGCAGCTGCTTAAAACTTTTGGGGGGGGAAGCTGGAAAACCACTGAGGTAAACCAAAAATGCTGGGTTTTACTCTTTCCTATTGGTGTGGTTTGGGAAATGTTACTTAATCTTTCTGGTTTCAGTCTCCTTGTTTATAATCTGAAGGTTTGGGGATAGATAGGATAAGTGTAAGATAACTCTGCTAGGAACCAGCTAAATCAGAGAAATTTCTGGAAACACCACCGCCAGCATTACTTTGTTTTCACTTGTACTGAATTATAACAGCACATAAACCACTCAGAGTTCCCTGACTGTAACTGAGATAATGAGGAAATAGAACTGAGGAGCCATTTCCTCTCTAGCTTCTTTATTACTAAGTAATGACCCCTTGCCAAAAAGTGGTCTCTGTTACAGGGGATTCTCTTTTCTGGAATGTAATTACTTAATTACTCAAGAAACTTTTGTATCTTGACAAAAATTTTTTTCTTAGGAGTTGACTTAACATTTCCTCAACGATCGTGTGTACAGCTCTTTTTTTATAAAAAAAATTCTTTTTCAGAAGTTACCTTGGCTCTGTCTTCTTGTAGGTAATTTGAAGAGCTGGGCTTTGTCATGCAATTTTCAATAATTAAGTATGCGGAGCCCCAGGAAGAGTGTTTTTGTGTTGCTTAGTAGTCCCATATTAAAATACTTCCTGTTTGAAATCGCAATTAAAATATTTGCAGGTACTTTCAGAACAGATAATTTTTACATTGGTAGCCAGTGTCAGGTTATATGCTTTATGAATGGGCAGTCCTCAAAAGTCCGTTTTTATTTTTACGTTTTTCAAAACATCTCTATCCTCATCGCTTGCCACCTGGCCGCCCTCCCACGCAGGCTTCTGGAGACTTCCATTCATTCACCAGTTTCCTCTCACCCTGATTGACCTGAGCGAGTTGGAGCTGACTGTATCAGGAGCGCCCTCTTGAGGACAGACTTGCTGAAGGAAACGAAAGATGTTTCCTTCAGTCAAACGTCGTGCTTTGCGTTGAATCTCAGAGTGTAGGGGAAGGAACAGATTTCATGAGTCACAGAAGTTCATTCATTTTGTTTTTTGGCCTTTGCTTCCACCAGGTCAGCCACCATCCACCTATCTCTGCATGTCATGCCGAGTCTGAAAATTTTGTTTTCTGGCAAGGTAATGTACTAATATATAATTAACCTGCATTTTGTGTAATGCTATAGGTTTATTTTGTTCAAGAATTGCTATAAATGCTGGCTGAGATCAAAAGTGGCCCCAAACTTGGACCCGGTTAGGAGGATCTGTATCAGTTGTTCTCACCTCATGGCTGAACAGTAATTGATATTCATCCATCTTTAATTGATATTAAGTATTTGATTTTAAGGGATTATTAATTGATATTAAGAATTTAGGGGAATAACTTATTTAGTTTTTCCCATTTTTAAAAATTCTCAGTCTTTATCTGAGCCACCACCATCTTTATCTGTAACTTTTTCTCTATCTCATTTCACAGCCACTTGAAATGCCTCGAATATTTCAAGAGACACTAAATATTTACATTTGTTCATCAGAGTGGAGACAGCAGAGGGGTTTTTGCTTTTAAAAAATTGAAATTTTATTTCTGAAATCACACTTTACATTGCTGACTTCTTTTTTCAGTTTTGAGATTGTTCCTAAAATTTTGTTTAGTTTATTTTTGGATGGGGGAGGGCAAGTTGCTCTCAGGAATAAACAAGACTGTACATATTTCCTAGATGGATTAGTTAATTTTTTTAATGTCTTCATTTATTCTCATGAAAGAACATATGAGCATCCTGGGTTTTCAAACAGCACATACCAGTTTTAAAACATTTTTTCTCTGCTAACAGTGATATCACCTGATTACCCATATTGCCCTTATATATATGTAAAATTTTTAAAGTGCAGTAAAACATACTGTAATGGTCTCCCCCAACCCCATCTTCTTCCCCAGACACCCAGTCTCTCTCTTTGAAGGCGATCAATATTACCAGTTTAAAGTTACATATATGATGGTTTTCTTTCTTAACCTTGGCTATTAAAGTTTAAAGTTGAAGCTTAATTTGAAACCTCTCTAATTTTCAGTAAAACTCTCTAGAAATAATTCTTATAAGGTCCCTAACCTATTAATTAATAAATCTCATTAACTGTATAAGCACCTCTGCTTTGTTTTTTTTTAATTATGTAGTTTTTAAATGAGAGGCATCTTCTCATAGTAGTTCCTGTGTGCTCCCTACCTTACATGCTTCCCTCCTCAACTCCTTTCCTAATCATCTTTTTCCTGGGCAGTCCTTCCTCATCAGCTTTTCCTGGGCCATCCCACCTGTTACCATAGACCCATGACTCCCAATTCTTTCTTTTTTATCCAATCTGACATTTCTCTGCCTTTGAATTAGGTTGTTTAGGCCATTTACATTTATTGTGACTATAGATGTAGCTGAGTTTAAATCTGCCCTCTTGTTATTTGTTTTGTCTGTTGTTTTAGTCCGTTTTGTGTTGCTATAACAGGATACCTGAGATTGGGTAATTTATAAAGAAAAGAGGTTTATTTAGCTTACGATTCTGGGACAGCTGCATCTGGCGTGGGCCTCAGGCTGCTTCTACTCATGGTAGAAAGTGGCAGGCAGCCGGTGGGTACAAGCAGATCACATGGTGAGAGGAAGCAAGAGAGAGAGAGAAGGTGCCAGGGTCTTTTTAAGCAACAAGCTCTCGCAGGAACTAATCAAGCGAGAACTCACTCATTAATCCCCCCTCCCCCAGGGAGAGAATTAATCCATTCACGTGGGATCCGCTCCATGACTCAATCAGTTTCCAACCTTGCCACATTGGAGATCAAATTTCCACATGAGTTTTGGAGGGGACAGCACATCCAAACTCCATCATCCTGCCCCTGGCCCCTCAAAACTCATGTCACTCTCACATACAAAATACAATCATTCTGTCCCAACAGTTCCCAAAGTCTTAGCTTGCTCCAGCACCAACTTAAAAGTCCAAAGTCTCCTCTGAGACCAAAAGCAAGTCCTTCCAGCTGTGAACCCGTGAAAACAAAACCAAATTTATCTACTTCCAAGATACAATGGTGGAACAGACATTGGGTACACATTCCCATTCCAAAAGGGAGGAATAGGCCAGAAAAAAGGAAAAACGGTCCCAAACAAGTCCGAAACCCAGCAGAGCAGACATTAAATCTCAAGGCTAGTGAATCAGGTACCTTGATTCCATGTTCGACTGCCTCTGCACAGTGGTGTGGGGGATGGCTCCCCAAGTCCTTGGGCAGCTCAGCTCCTATGGCTTTCTTAGTCTTGGGCCACACTTCACCTCTCCCAGGCTGGTGTTCCACTCTGGTAGCTCCACAGGTCTGGGGTCTCCATGGTGGTCCTGCTCTCATGGCTCCACTAGGCATGGAGCTGTTGGGGTTTCTCTGCTGCAACTCTGACCCCACATTTCTGCTTGGCATTGCTCTAGTGAAGGCTGTCTGCAGTGACTCCACCCTTGTGACAGATCTCTTCCTGGGCCCCCAGACTTTTCCATACATACATTGAAATCTGGGTGGAGGCTCCCAAGGCTTCCCGGCTCTGGCATTCTGTGAGCCTGCAGACCTAACACCACGTGGATGCCACCGACGTTTCAGGCCTCTTCTCTCCAGGGCTGCTGTAGAAACCACACTTGGGGCTGCTCCAGCCGGAACAGCTGGGATGCAGGGAGCAGGGAGCAGGTTCGCTAGGGCAGCGGTGCCCCAAGTCTGTCCTCTGGGACAACCAAGTCCTTGGGGGCCTCAGGGCCTGTGATGGGTGGGGCACCCTTCCAGACTTTTCAAATGCCTTTAGGACATTTTTTCCATTGTCCTGGTTCTTAGCATCTGGCTGCCTCACTGCCAAGATAATGTCTTTAGCAAACAGTTTATCAGCTTCACCCTTGCATTGTTCTCTGGCTCTCTGCTTCTTTACCGCGTGGCCAGGCTGCAAAGTTTCCAAATCTTTATGCTCTGCTTCCATTTTAAATTCTGGCTTTATGTCATGCCTTTGCCGCCATAACTCAGAGTAGGCTGTTAGAAGTAGCCATGCAGCATTCTTAATGCTTGGCTGCTTGGAAATTTCTTCAGCCAAATGCTCTGGTTCACAACTCTTAAGTCTCACCTTCCACAGAGTCCAATGGCATGGACACAATACGGCCAAGTTCCTTGCTATGGTGTAGCAAGGGTTATCTTTTGTCCCATTCCCACTAAGTTCCTCATTTCTACCTGAGACCTCATCATCTGCACGGCCTTCACTGTCCAGAGACTGGGTAATTTATAAGGAAAAGAGGTTTATTTGGCTTATGATTCTGGGACAGCTGCATCTGGCACGGGCCTCAGGCTGCTACTACTCGTGGTGAAAAGTGGCAGGCAGCCGGTGGGTACGAGCAGATCACATGAGGTGAGAGGAAGCAAGACAGAGAGAGAGAGAGAGAGGTGGTGCTAGAGTCTTTTTAAGCGACCAGCTCTCGCGGAAACTAATTTGAGCGAGAACTCACTCATTAATCCCCCCTCCCCCAGGGAGAGCATTAATCCATTCATGAGGGATCTGCCCCCATGACTCAATCAGCTTCCAACACTGCCACATTGGGGATCAAATTTCCACATGAGTTTTGGAGGGGACAACACATCCAAACTCCATCATCTGTCATATCTGTTCTTTGTTCTTCTTTTCCTCTTTTTCTGTCTTCTTTTGAACTAATTGAATACTCCATAATTTCATTTTTATCTCCTCTGTTGGCCTCTTTGTTTTGTTTCTTAATTGTTACTTTAGGATTCACATTATTTATCTTTAACGTATTACAATCAAGTACAGTCATGAACAGCATAGCAGTGTTTATTGTCAAGAAGAGACCTCATATATACGATGGTGGCTATACCATTTAGCCTAGGTGTGTGTAGGCTTCACCACCTCAGCTCATGTAAGTACACACTAAGATGTTCACATAATGGAGAAAGTGCCTAATGACACATTTCTCAGAATGTATCTGAGAATGTATCATTAAGTGAAGGACGACTTTTATATACTAGGGTACTTCAAAAAGGTCATGGGAAAATAGGATTAGAAGGCAACATGAGTCTTTCCATGACCTTTTTGAGGTACCTTCGTATTATGCCACTTCACATATAGTATAAGAAACTTACAAAAGTGTACTTCTGTTTTTCCTCCCCCAACCTTTGTGCTATTTTTGACATACATTTTATTTATGTGTGTTAAACTCCACAATACATGTTTTTTTGCTTTAAACAACCAGTTATCTTCTTTTCTTCAACAAGTTCATTGAGATATGATTCACATACTGTATAATTCACCTGTGTAAAGTGGACAATTTAGCTCGTATTATGTCCACAGAGTTGTATAGTCATCAGCATAGTTCACTTTAGAACATTTTTAATCACTCCAAAAGAAAACCCTTTAGCAAATACCACCCTCCTCCTAATTTCCCTCAACATTTCCCAGCCTTACACAACTACTAATCTGCTTTCTGTCTCTACAAATTTGCCTATTTGGGGCATTTTATAAAAATTAAATTATGCAATATGTGAGAGGACACTCTCTGTTCCCAGCCCCACCTCTCTCACCTGGACTGCAGCCATGGTGCCTTCTGGCCTCGCTGCTTCCACCCTCAGTCCTATGGTCTGTCTGTCCTCAGTGCAGCAGTGAGATGGGACCTCCTCTACTGTTCTTTTTCTATTCCCTGTCTCTGTTGGTACCACCATTTGTGCAAATTAGAAAAATCTGACATCATTCATAAATTCACTCTTTCTCAAGCTGTATCTAATTTGTCACCCAGTTCTGTATATTTCTACTTTAATATTTCTGGGATCGGGTCGGCCCTGTGGCTCACTCGGAAGAGTGCGGCGCTGGGAGTGCCAAGGCTGCGGGTTCGGTTCCTATATAGGGATGGCCCATGCACTCACTGGCTGAGCGTGGCGTGGACCACACTGTGCCGAGGGTTGCGATCCCCTTACCAGTCAAAAAATATATATATATATGTGTGTGTATATATATATTTCTGGGATCACTTACTTCCAACTCCATCCTCATGGCTGTTGTCTTGGTTCACTTCAACCCAGTGTATCCCATGGACAACTGCAATAGCCTCTTAACTTGCCACCTTGCTTCTGATCTCTCCATTGCCTGTTCCATTCTCCATGTTGCTTCCAATTGTCCTAGCAAGGTGTGTATCTAATCACATTAGTTCCCTGTTTGCTTTTCCCCAGTGCACACAAACCAGACTGCTTAGCCAGGCTTGTTTTTTGTCTGCAATTGGACTTTCTACTCTTCTCTCTAGACAATCTCAGACCTACAGGACAGAACCACACGGTGCTCTCTTATACCTCTGTCCCCTTGAACAAGTTATTCTTCTGCTTTAAATTACTTTTTCTCTACCTGGTGAACTCCTGCATGTTTTTCAAAGCCCCATTTAAATGGCCCCTCTGACAAGCTCTTCTGATGACTTTCCCAGGCGTATTGCTCATTCCTTCTTTTCCAGTTTCATGTCACCTTACAACACACTCAGTTACAGCCTGTGCCTCTCTGTGTGGTCACTGCTTGTTTTCACTTCTGTCTGCCTTTCATATTATGAACTCTTCCAAGGGAAGGACTTTATCTTATAATTTTAGTTTCCCTGATTCTGTCTAAGGTACCCAGTTGGTACTATATTGCATGAAAAGTTATCCTATACAGCAATTGATTTGTTTATGAAGAGGTTGTACTATATAGTGATGATCACTTATGTAGCCTAAGAATGCTTTGATTTACCTAGCTGTCTGCTAAATATGCAACATTTGGTATTTCATTTCAGATGTGAGATGGAAAAACAAATTCTGGGGCAAATCCATGGAAATTGTTCCCATTGGCACAACCCACGCAACTCTCCCAACGTAAGTTCTTCTGTGATTTAGAATGTTACAGAATTTAGGGCCAAGATTTTTTTTTTTCTTTTTTGTCTTTTTTTGTGACCGGTAGCGGGATCGCAACCCTCAGTGTCGTGCCCGCACCGCGACCGGCAACGGGATCGCAACCCTCAGTGTCGCGCCCGCACCGCGCTCAACCAGTGAGCGGACCGGTCTCTACATGGGATCCAAACCCTCGGTGGGAGCTCACCGCACTCTCAAGCGCCGCACTCTACCGAGTGCACCACTGGGCCGGCCCCAGGGCCAAGATTTTACTTTAGGGACAGGCTGCTCACTGTCCCCCATGGCACTGAGTGTATGTTTTTATATTCTAATCTGTTCGACAGTAGATTTAAGTGTTCCTCATTTTGGCAATCTCACGTTTTCGTTCTCACAAAATGGAAATGCCTCCTGGAGACCAAAGTTCCCTGAATAGAAGCTTTTTAAAACTCTTTTCTACTTCCTAACAAGATTAAGAATGGTAGTTTTTCTGTAACAGTGTTGTCCTGCCTCACTGTCAAAATTCCTTTTAAGAAAGATATGGCCTTGATCTTACAGGCATCATTGATGCTTAGTTATAAAGCACAGTGATTGTGAGCAGGGATTCTGGAGCCACAGTCAAGCTTCACACGCTTCTCTGCTCCCTACCGATTGTGAGTCCCTGGCTGGTAACTTCACCCTTCTGATCGCTGGTTCCCTCGTCTAATAGGTTGGGGATAATAAAACACCTATTTCCTGGGGCCATTGTGAAGGTGAAACATAATATATGTAAAGCACTTAAAATAATACTTAGCGGGCCGGCCCGGTGGCGCACTGCTTAGTGTGCCGCTTGGGAAGTGCGGCGGCGCTCCCGCCGAGGGTTCAGATCCCACATACAGACCGGCCGCTCACTGGCTGAGCGAGGTGCGGGAGCAACACCGAGGGTTGCGATCCCGTGGCCGGTCCCAGTCTGGTACGGGCGCGACACTGAGGGTTGCGATCCGTTGCTGGTCACGAAAAAAGACAAAAATAATAATAATAATAATACTTAGCACATGTATGTGCCATCTAGGTGTTTGGTCTCATTACCATTATTTCCATAATTATTATTTAACACCATAAGTGATATCCGAATACTTTATTATCATAAAAGCTGCAAGTAATAAATATCTAGCAAATTGTGTAAAACCCCCATACCTTCCTCACACCCATTCCATTCCCTCTCCTAGTTCGGCAACTTTACACAAGTCACCTCTGGCTCAGCATTGCCTCCTCTGTCAGAAGAAGGAGTGGGTTGTTCTGGGAGACCAGCAGCTTCTAGTGAACTCAAATCTGCCTGCTGTCATTTTCTGTGGCATGCATGCCTTCTTGGAGAGCAGAAGCTTGTACAATGCCCAGCATGGTGTAGACGCCATCAGTGTTGGTTCCATGAATGAAGGAATGAGCAGTTCACTGCATGACTTACTTTATAAAATAGTGGTGTTTGTTTGCATTTTCTGCTGGCTCTTCTGGGAGTCAGTACTTTCACCTTTTTCTCTGTTTTAGTTTTGGAGATCATTTTGAGTGGAACAAAGTGACCTCTTGCATCCATAACATCTTAAGTGGGCAGAGGTGGATTGAGCACTATGGAGAGATTGTCATCAGAAACCTGAGTGATGATTCCTGCCACTGCAAAGTGAACTTTATAAAGGTGACTTGGGTGGCCCTCTGAGCTCTGGCAGAGCCCGGGCCTTGGGCACAGGGCATTTGGGGGTATTTTTTACCTTTACCTTTGTACCAGCATGCAAGCAGTACCCCCTCCTTGCCTCCTTCCTCCCACCCTTACTCCCCTATGATCCCTCCTCAGTGCAGCAGCCCTTTTAGTATATGTCATCATGCTTTAACATCATGCACCTTGAAGACATTAAGCTAAATGAAATAAACCAGACACAAAACACATATACTGCCTGATTCCCTTATATGAGATACCGGAGGAGTTAAATTCATAGACAGAAAGTAGAATGGTGGTTGCTGGGGGCTGGGGGAGAGAGGAATGGGGAGTTAGTATTTAATGGGTAGAGTTTCAGCTTTACAAGATGTAAAGAGTTCTGTTGATGGATGGTGCTGATGGTTGCCTAACATTGTGAATGTACTTACTGCCACTGAACTGTACACTTAGGGTTAAAAAGGTAAATTTTGTTATGTATGGTTTGCCACAATTAATAATAATTCATGCCATATCATTCCTTTGAGCAAAATCCTCCAGCAACTTCCATCTTTATCAGAATAAAAGCCTGCATCCATACAGTGGCCCGCAAGGCCCTGCACGGTCTGCAGTCCCCACTCCCACCCCTTCACACATGTGCTTGCACACACGTGTGCACACACATGCACTCACATGCCACCCTTGCTCCTCTCCACCCTCCGTTCCTCCCACACTCTCCTCCCCTCCACACCATCCCCTGGCCACACTGGTCTTTCTCTTTCTTCATTTTCTCTGCCAGGGCCACTCTCCCCAGATCCTCTAGCCACCAGCCCCACCCTGTCACTCACTCTCTGTCGTATCCTGTTTTCTTCAAAGTTTTATCATGTCTGAGGTTAGCTTGCCTGTTATTGCTTTACTAGTTTATTTTCTGTTCTCCACATCCCCCTTGCCGGCCCTGGCTCCCTGCTCCATCTTGCTCACGACTGTAGCCCTGATGCCTGGAAATGGTGTCTGGCACACAGCAGAGGTGCATAAACAGAGAATGATGCAGAGATTGGCCAGAAGCAAAAGAGGATGGAATTATCTCTTTATCATTTCAGCTTCCTTGGCTTGTCCATCTTCTCTCCCTCCTAGATTGCTTCTTCCCCTTAATAATTTCAGGTACTTAAAATGGCTTTAAAGTGTTACCCTCTTCAAGGAACAAAGTACTGCCCTTTGTAAGTTTCAGTTACCCATGGTCGACCGTGGTCCAAAAATACCAAATAGAAAATTCCAGAAATAATTCATAACTTTTAAATTGTGCACCATTCTGAGTAACATGGTAAAATTTCTCACCGTCCTGCTCTGTCCTGCCTGGGATGTGGTTCCCCCGTTTGTCCAGCATATTCACATTGCCACGCTCACTGCCCAGTCGTCACTTGGTAGCCATCTCAGTTATCAGATCCACTGTCACAGTAGCAGCACTTGTGTCCAAGTCACCCTTGTTTTACTTAATGGCCCCAACGCGCGTGAGTAGTGATGCTGATAATTTGAATATGCCAAAGGGAGGTCATAAAGTGTTTCCTTTAAGTGAAAAGGTGAAGTTCTTGACTTAATAAGGAAAGAAAAAAATCACATGCTGAGGTTGCTGAGATCTATGGTAAGAATGAATCTTCTCTCTATGAAATTTTGAAGAAGGAAAAAGAAATCTGCATAGTATATACAGGGTTTGACACTATCCATGGTTTCAGGCATCTACTGGGGGTCTTGGAACATATTTCCCTAGGGTAAGGGGGCACTACATGTTTGTGTTTAAGATCAAAATCATAAGCTGAGAGATTAGGTTCAAATTGTGGAATTTCATGCAGTACCTCTCTGTACCACCTGTAACCCATAGGGGGCGCTCATGAAGAGGTGGATTGGGGTCTTTATTATTGCGCTCATAAATGGATTGTATAGGCAGACATAAAGCTGCAGTGACCTTACATTTGGGGCAAAATAAATATGACCCTACCTTGAAAGCTTTGTCTAATAAGCTCACTGCAAAAAAGCAAAGGGCAACCTGGAGCAGGGTATGTTACCCTGACCCAGGTGAGAGCCACCTAGTTCTCATCATTTCCCCAGGGAAATGTGCTAGAGCCACGTCTACCACCCACTTGGTTCTCATCCACTGAGGACCAGAGAATGGATTTTTGTAGTTATGAGAGATGAGCATTGGACATGCCTCTGGTGTTGAAAGAGAATCTGAAAGCAAATGCCACCATTACCTATGGAATAAGACTCTGTCCCTCTGTGGCTTTTCATCACATTGTCAGCATTGGATTTGTAGGCAAATAACATCTGAGAGAAAATCTGACTCCTGCTTCAGAACAAAGTTAAGAATCTGGACAGTCTTCCCCCCACCCCCCTCATTTTTACATGGCTGGAGAACTTAAATTTCTACTTCGGTGCTGAGATGCTGCTGTACCCCAGCCTTCCTTCACATTTTTACCACAGCTTTGGAAAGGAGAAGCTGAACCACTAGAAGTGGCTGGAGAACTTAAATTTCTACTTCGGTGCTGAGATGCTGCTGTACCCCAGCCTTCCTTCCCATTTTTACCACAGCTTTGGAAAGGAGAAGCTGAACCACTAGAAGAGGACCTGAAAATGCCACTCAACTTTACTGGTTTCCAAATATGGATTCCATTTCAGCTGAAAATAGTACTAGGATTTTTGATTTATGGAGAAATACCTTCTTTCTGTTCTTTCATAGAGATTTTTAGGGCCAGGTATTGGGAGAGTTGAAAAAATTAACTGTAGGGAGTTGGAGCTCCCTCTGCTGGCTCGGGTGTGGTACTGTATAAAACAGACAAGGTTGGGCTGGGCTGGGCTGGGCTGGTTTGGCTTGAACTGAACTGAGTGCAAGGCATCTCACAGACCACAGTCAGTACACAGTGAGAACATGGTCTGCATAAGGTTCCAGTGGGTTGGATGAACAATCCTATTTTGGGGGAAAAAAATAAACTGAATTCAAGCAACCTCCTTGGTTGGTTTGCAAAGGACCATCTAGTATTTTTAGAGAAAAAAATTATGAGTTAAATTTCCTTGCAGTAGTCAGAGCTACAGTGCTGTAAGAGCCACGGTGACAGCCAAGGAACAGCTGATCTATAAGAGGAGGCTTATGGGCCAACCACACTACTTGGCTGATGTCTTAAGGGTAGAACTCAGCCTTTCCTTCCTACATTGTATGTAGCAAAAGTAGAAAAAAACAATGTATCTTACATAAGTGTTGGTTATTGAGGTACAAACTAGAGAGTTTACCATTAGTTTTTATTAAATAACTAAAGGTATGATTTTAAAAAAATAAATAAAAAAGCCAGAGCCCAGGCATAAAAGCAGACACATAGACCAATGGAACAGAAAAGAGAACCCAGAAATAAATCCATCCATTTAGGATTAGTTGATTTTTGACAAAGGTGCCAAGAACACACAATGGGGAAAGAACAGTCTCTTCAATAAATAGTGTTGGAAAAACTGGATATCCACATACAAAAGAATGAAGTTAGACCCTTATCTCACATTATATACAAAAATCAACTCAAATTGGATTAAACACTTAAACATAAGACCTGAAATTAAAACTGCTAAAAGAAAATATAGGGGAAAAACTCCATGATGTTGGCCTGTGCAATGATTTTGGGGGGGGGGATAGACTTCTAAAACACAGGTAACAAGAGCAGAAATAGACAGATGGGACTACATCAAACTAAAAAGCTTGTACACAGCAAAAGAAACAATAAAGAAGAGACAACCTACAGAACGAGAGAAAATATTTGCAAATTATACATCTGATAAGAGGTTAATATTAAGGAACTCAGCTCAAAAGCAAGAGAACAGATAACCTGACTAAAAAATGAGCAAAGGACCTGAATAAACATTTCTCAAAGGCCCGGCTGATTAGCTCAGTTGGTTGTAGTGCAGCCTTCTAACACCAAGGTCACAGGTTTGGGTCCCCACACCAGTCAGCTGCAAAAAACCAAAACAAACAAAAACTCAGAAGATATACAAATGGCCAACAGATAGATGAAAAAATGTTCAACATCACTAATCATCAGGAAAATGCAAATTAAAAACAAAATGACATATCACCTCATACCTTTTAGAATGGCTGTTAAGAAAAAGACAAGATAACAAGTGTTGGCAAGGATGTGGATAAAAGGGGACCCTTGTACAGTGTAGGTAGGAATGTAAATTAGTACAGCCATTACGGAAAACAGAGTGGGGATTCCTCAAAAAATTAAAAATGAAATTACCATATGATCCAGCAATTCCACTACTGAGTATATTTCCAAAGTAAATAAAATCAATATGTTCAAGAGATATCTGCACTCCCGTGTTTATTGCAACACTATTCACGATAGTCAAGACATGGAATCAACCTAAGTGTCCAAAAATAGATGAGTGGATAAAGAAAAATGTGGTATATATACACAAAGAAATACAATTTAGCCTTTAAAAAGAAGGAAATCCTGTCATTGTGACAACATGGGTGAACCTGGAAGACATTATGTTAAGTGAAAAAAGCCAGGCACAGAATGACAAATACCACATGTTCTCACTTATGTGTAGAATCTAAAAAAGTTGAACTCATAGAAGCAGAGAGTAAAATGGTGGCTGCCGTGGGTTTGGGGAGGATTGGGGACATCTTGGTCAAAGGATACAAAATTTCACTTGGACAAAACGAATGAGTTCAAGAGATCTATTGTACAACATGGTGACTGCAGTTCCTAACAATGTATACTTGACAGTTTCTAGGAGTAGTTTTTTTTTTTTTTGTCTTTTTCGTGACCAATAAGGGGATCGCAACCCTTGGTGTGGTGTCACCTGCACCGCGCTCAGCCAGTGAGTGCACCGGCCATTCCTATATAGGATCCGAACCCACGGCGGGAGCGGCGCTGCACTCCCAGCGCCGTACTCTCCCGAGTGCGCCACGGGGCTGGCCCTCTAGGAGTGGTTTTTTTTTTTTTTTAAAAAAAAGATGACCGGTAAGGGGATCTTAACCCTTGACTTGGTGT